TTAAAATATTAAATTAAATTACTTCCTTCTTTACATTCTCCATTAATTAAATCAAATCCTTAACCACATGATGTACAATCAGATTTAGCAGGTCCAGTACAACCTGAACAACCTTTGAAACATTAAGCAGCAAACAATTAGAAATCTCTTACACCCCATGATTCATTTTCAGGTGGTTCATCTAAAGTTGATTTCATTAACACTTTAACTTCAGGGAATTTATGTGGAACATTAATTTCAATATTAACAATCTTTTCAGCCCATCCTTCACCTTATTTTGCACCTGTATCAACACCACAAAGATCTACTCCTTCATTATAAGCAAAAGCTTATCTAAATTTCTCTTAATCATCAATTTCCATTAAAAATAATTCATTATCCCAAGAATCTATTTTCCACATTTAAACTTTCACTTTCACTTAATAATGAGGAGGTAAATTTGTAAATCTTTTCCATAAATTAGCTTTTCTACCTAATTTACCATATCCACCAAAAAGTTATACTCCTGCACATTCATTTGATTCTGCTTTTCCTTCTCCATCTAGAGTCCAACCTTCTAATGATATTTATTTATTCCAATTAGTAGCTACATTTGTCCAAAAGAAACAATTATCTGGTTTATTATCACTACATACTGAACATTCTGGATGACATCTCTAAAATGATAATTTGAAATCTCTAAATGCCCATGATTCCTATTATAATTTATAAATTAATATTTATACATTCAATGCATCTTCATCTAAATTTGATGTCAATACTATGCTAACTGTTGGTGAATTATGTGGAACCTCAAATTCTATATTATAAAAAGCTTCTTTCCAATCATTTGCTGCTCCACATAAATTTGCTCCTTCAGAATAATGCCATTTTGCTTGCCATATGAAACCATCAACTAATACATACATTATTTCATTATCCCAACTATCTATTCTATTATTTTAATTATTTAATAATATTACTTCCATAACTATATATTGATCTTTAATTTATAATGAGGTGGAAGTGTTAATTATTTTAATGCTGTAGCTCCTTTACCAAATGCACCATATCCACCAACCAAACTTATTTTATCACATTTACTAAATGTATTTCCCTTAAATGCTTTCTT